AAATATAAAGCTATGTTCTTCTTTTTTTTTATTGCCACATCTCGACAACTCTATTTATAGTTTTAGATCCTAATCCTATACATAATAGAAAACTTCCTATTCCTATTCTTAATAGAATTAGTAATAATCCGTTGAGTCTTTCTTAGCATTAACCGACTTGTTAATGATTTCTTAGACTCCAAGTAAGTGAAGCTTATCCAACAGGTTAAGTTTTGTTTTGCGTGGGTTAAATCAGGATGTATATACAATGAACATAGGTTAAAAAAATTGTACAAATACTATCGTCGTTATTATCGGATTTAATTTTTACTAGTGTACGTGAGAGTAATTGTAAGCGACAAAGGAAAAATATATTTAAATAATCAGTACATACTATATACTACAATATGTCCATTTTAATAGAATTAAATAATCTAGATATATCAATTATTATTTTGAAACTTATTAACAATATAAAAGTGGCCAACATCTTAGTAGTTGAATCGTCTTAGTTTCATGAGTCTCCACAATTCAGCTCCAGTGTGCTATTATTTTATCATCTTATGATTGAATCGAAAATAATAGAGAAATAAAATTTACACTAAAGACTATATAGAAAAAAACATTATCTACAAACCAAATATCATAATTCGGTCCAATAGAGCACATCTATATTTTACTCCGACAAAAATAAGAGTACCTATATTTTATTTATTTGTTAATTTTATTTGATACAAAACAACATAAATCAAGATGGGAAACAAACAAAAGGCTCCTTAACTAGGCTTGAACATCTTATCTTGCTTGTCTCGTAAGAAGAACAACGAAAGCTATTTACATAACTACAAGTCACCTTCTGGGCCACAAAATTGTCTCCTCGTTTTAGAAACTTCTTCTGTTCTTAAGCCAATTTGAGAACTCTTCAAGAGTGTTCATGTCTGCTCTATAATGTTTTTGTGTGAACTCAAGAAACGTAGACCATGTAAAATCAGGATACTCTCTTCTTTCACCAGACATACCTCCTCCTACTAGTTCTTTTGGTGGCTTCACCACTTTGTCTCCTTTCGGACATAGGAAAAATGCAAATGTATTCCTTTCTCTCTCACTGTTCACCACCGCCCGATGCAAACAACTCTTGTATCTTCCATTCGTTAGAGCCTAAATACGACAAAAAAACCCAAAAATATTTTAAAATGTTTATTGTGAACTCTCCTAATTTATAATAAATAATAAATCCAAACGATTACAAAAAAAAATGCATGCATCGATCAAAATGATAAACGGACTCTATAACTACCATGAAGGTGTCGCCTATGTTCACTACGAATGCTTTAGGGTTAGGAGGAATGGATTGCCATTGATTGTCRACAAAAACTTGAAGACCACCGACTTGGTCTTGATGAAGTATGGTTAGAGATGTTGGATCGCAGTGAGGTCCTGTCCCTAATGCAAGCTCCGGTTGCTTGCACTGCGGGTAGTAATTCAGTCGTAATATCGACTGGTTGTCTTCGAAAAACTCTCTAAAATGCCTCCTCTCGATCCCAAGACTCATTCCAAGAAGCTCCATGATCTTTAGTGATAGAGTGTTCATAGCCTCCGCGTATTTTTGATAAACCTTCCTGTATCAAGTATAATCAACCAATTATATATCAATCATTTTGGACCGGAATCTAGACTAATTACCACATCCTAAAAAAAGATGAATATTTTGTCACTTAAGATACATACAAAAACGAAGAGTGATGTGGTGTGTTTTCTTGGATATACAAAAGAAAGTTTCAACATTTGCTAATTTCATTACCCGAAATCTTCGTATCCATCTCCCATTTTCTTGGTAACAAAGTCTTTAACGGTTTGGGAATGACACTTTTCCTCGGGAGAGAACTTAAACGACAGTGTTTCTTTCCACGGGAGCTTAGAAGAGAATCTCCCAACGAAGCTACTAGCGTAACCCGAACTCTCACCCCAAGTCCTCTGAGCCTTCTGTTTCTCACAAGCCGGAGACGTAAAGAAAGAGTCCATAAACAGATAGGCACGAGACAAGAGCGTTTCATCAACTCCATGGTTAGTAACTAGGAAGAAGCCATGTTGTTGTGCAGCCTCCGAGACGAGTCTAGTGGCTTCCGAGACCAAGAACGAGTCGCCGGAGAGGAAACCGGCGAGGTCAATGAGAGGGACTTGGAGAGGTTGAACATTTGTGGAAGGTTTCTCGTGGTCGGGCCATACAAACTGTTGAGGTATGCGGTTTAGTTGCTGATTTATTACCTTCGGATCGAAGATCGAAGGATCTTCGAGTTTGGTTTTGTTGTCATTGAAACTTTGAGGGAGCGTTGCGATGCATTCCATTGCCATATTTAACTATATGTATAGATATAAAATAATATTTTAGTGGCCTATTTGTTTAGTGGTCGTGTGTAAGTCGAGAAGAAAGGAGTGATTGATATTTATAGGTGTGAGAGGGAAACTTAGGCGTAGGGAATAGTGACATGACTCACCTCGG